TTTACAAGATACTGTTTTTACGGGCAATTACTTGCCTTAGTGGTGCATATAACACTACTGTATACAAAGCATTACTGTCTGACCTCCTTGTTAATTATGCTAAGCAGTACAGCTGCTTTCCACTAACCGATAAAATAAAAGGAAATAGCTTGCTTTCCTGAGGACATTAGCTTTCTGAGTAAAAAAAAAAAAAAGGCAGAAGCAAAGTTTGACCTTTAAAATTTAGATTTGTGCTGAGGGTCATTGGCAATAGGGCTTTCATATGTGCTCTGATACTGCTGACTCCAGCATCAGCATGGCTGCACATTGGTAACCAGGGCTGGAGATGAAGCCCTTCTCTCTCCTTCACCAAACTGTAAAGTAAGTGCATCAGATGTAAAGAAATGAAAATATGGTTTGAGTGTTAACAACAGCACACGATAAGATTGTTAAACTGCTCTATTCTGAACACTGCTTCCCAGGCACTTGAGGAATTTGTGGAGGGAACATAAATTTCTAGGTGATACTTCACCGAAGAGAATTTCATCACAGCCTGAAATAAGCAAATAAGCCTGAAATAAGCTAAAAAAGGCAACTCTTTTGATGCCATCTGGTGCTGCCCATTAATCAGACAACTATTCTCTTTTAATTAGGGACTAACCCTGGTACGCCTTGTTATATCAGTATCACCACAGACATAGATACAGAGAGCTCTTTATGTTCTTAATTTCCACTTTGGCCTTTACTGTGCAATAGTTTTAAAGAGAATTAGTTTTTCTCAGGGGTATTAAGTGATTTCAAACCTTTTTGGTCATTATCCTTACTCTTCAGGTAGCCTTTAGTAACATAAAATACTTCTCTGTAGCAGAAAGCCCAGCACTGGACATTACGGCTACAAGAATACATTATAAAGGAGTGTGCAGATTTACTTTACCCAAAGTTATAGTGGTTAGAAAGTGAGTCCTCGAGTTCTACTTTTCAACCTCTGAAAATGTGTTGCTGAAGAACATCCCTACCTCTGGTGGGAAATGAGGACAAGTTTTTCCTTCCCTCATAACTTAAAAAAAAGGCAAAAAACCAACCAGAACCAAAACCACTGCGGTCATGATTATTACCTGGGAGTATACCATCACCTACAAACATGTGCTCTTCTTTTTTGTGGGCTTTGCTTTGTCATTGTGATGTCAGAGAACTTCCAGCAGACCAAGGCGAAGACCCTTTCTGGGTCCATTTTCCAGATGCCTCTCAGATGATTTTCCTTCTTGGCCATTTGCCACTCTGTTAGCTGGGCTGCAGTGAGCCATGTTTATAGTTCACATGGCTGAAGATAATCCCAACAATACACACAGTATGAGGAGAGTGCAGCTGGACTGCTGGGAAAATAAAACATCGGAGGATGAAAAAGCAGAGGAGGTGGGGGTTTGGGATCTTCGAGCTTTTTCCCCTTCAGCCAGCATAATCAACACAGTCATAAATTAAAAATTTATTCCAAGACAACACATAAGTTACTCAGAGGTCATCATCATCACAGGGCTCTTGTTCACGGAGTCCACATTTTGTTGGAGGGGAAAAAGCTAGTCTGCAAAGGGATTGTTATTTTTATCAGTAGTTAGTCATTATTTGTGGTCTTTCCAGATAAGAAAGCAGAACATATTACAGTACTTATCACCAACATTATCTGCCATTAGACACAACTGAACTGGATTATTGCTTCTATTTTTTATTTGTTTACATTTTTCAGTCTCAGAGCAGTTACACAGAACTCAGCTCCATAGTCTCCCTCTTTTGTCTTCTTAACTATGTGTAAATAAGTTTTTAAGCAACAGCTTTTTCAGAAATTAAAGTTAACTTTTGATGAGTGTGTAAGGTCTTTATGGCATTAAATGCAACACTGGTCTTGTATGGAAAGAAAATCCTTTTAAATTTGTCTATTCAAGTATAAAATAACATTGATACCTGCTCCTCAGTAATTCAGAATTGAAGTTTATGGTCTGAAACACTGTAGTATTCATTAATACTACTTTTTAGTGACAGAATATAAATTCTATAAGGTAGAGAATGTACTTGATGGGTTCTTGTTCTACTTTAAGGCCAAGTTCAATAAAAAGTGTATAAATAAGATATATTGGATGAAAAGTATCATTGAAGAGCATTGAAGCCAGCATTGCATAAATTTCTTTGACATTGTCTTTTCTCTGAACTGTGTAGCAATATGAAATCTTTCCTACTTTTGCCTGTAAATGTAATTTGCTGCAAAAATTTGCTGGATGATTTGTGTAAGTTTAATAATCTACCTGTAGTTATTTTGCAAGTTGTTTGCTCTGTTTATTTACTGGCTTTATCATACTGTGCTATATCACATAATTGTAGCACCTGGACTAGATGACTGAAAATGTTTAACAGGATAACCTTGAAGAACAATTAGGAAAAAAAAGGGGAAAAAAAGCCATCAAAGCAATCACTTCTTGCAATTTCAGATCAGATAAATATTTTAAATTAACAAATACTATCACCCTACAAACAACTCAAGCAACAAAAGCTGCTGTCTTACAAGAAGCTGTAAGGTCATTTAATCACATATACATTTGTAAATCTTCTCATCACTCAACTGGGTCCTGGAATAGTCCCAAGCAGTGTTCATCAGGCCCCTACAATTTTAAAAATCCCTGAGCATCTGTCCTGGAACTGTCAGACAAACCCCGGATCAGCTTCAAACACAAAGTCTTGTTAACTTCCCCCTCCAAATCTCTAAAAAACCTATCTTTCCTTAACAATGAAAATCTCTCTTTCCCTTCAATTCCTACACACTGCTTAGTCTGGGACTATACCAAAGTATAAACTCTATCAAGGCAAAAAGCAGAAACTAGACATTTAAGTATTCTTTCTCATATTCCTTCCATTTAAGGATTGTTAGGATGTATGGAAAATCTGTTGTAGGCAGCTTTTGTCTTTCCAGAACTAACCCATCACAATTTTTCTTTCCCCCATCAAGGCCTGTATGGTAGATAGATAGTATGATGAAAGTCTGAATTTATCACAGAGTAATTGTGCACAGTAATTATCACAGAGTAAAGAGCACTTGTATTAAATAAAGACATCTCAGAATTATTTCTAAAAGTAGTACCATTTTTTTTTTAAGGAAATAACATACAGAGAGTATATGGAGGTGCTCTATAGGTAAGACTTTATTGTCAGTTTTTGGGGTAATTCGTAATTTATTTTCTGGCTTATGAACTTACAAATTTCAATTGAAGTCACAGTTTCCCAGCTCAATTATTACTGTGTCCCTGGCTGTAGCATTGGGATGCCATTGGTGAGAGCAGAGAATATTATGGCGCTCTGAAGAGCTTTGCTTTCGGGAAATTTGAGAAACATGAAGAAACACCAAAACTGAGTCTTCAGTGATTTTCTGTCTTTCTTGTCTATGGCATTAGTTGCTGATTTGGGTCCGAAAAATTAGTATAAACCATTTATTTGGTTTATATTTGTGTGTTTTAAAGAAATTGCTGTATGAAGGACTAAAGCTGGGCAAAATGTCAGCGGCTGGCTTTTGAGCGTAAAGTGGCTGAGCCTCAGCAAGGGCCCACGAGCTAGAAATGTCCAGGAGTTGCGACAGGAACTAAACTTGACCTTTTTATTCATTACAGGAAAATCTTATTCATCTGAGACACTGAAAATGTTCCTGTGCAACTTTTGTTTCAGTGAGGCTGAGAAACAGGAACACAGCAGAGACAGGACGAAGGCTATTCTTGCAGATTTCCCAGTTCAGCTAAACCCAGGACCAGCGGAAAAGCTCCTGAGAAAGCCTGGAGACTCGCACAACTCAGAAGTTTCAGAAGCCTTGTCCACAAGGAACAAGAATGGGAACGTCAGGCTTGGGAAGCAGCAGGGACAGCCTTCAGTGAGGTATTTCGGTACTGCCACTTCCTGCCTGGGCTGAAGCAGGGAACAGCGAAGTACATGACTTTTTTAAGCAAGGTTCTCAGAGCCCCGATTTGGTGTATTCTGCCCACAAAGGTCAGGAACCAGGCAGCAGAGCTAAGGAGATTGTGTGGGATATAAGCTGTCAGCAGACGTGGCATGCTGTCCCTTATATAGCAAGCACTGCTAAGTGGATAAGAGAGGGTGCTGGAGAGCAGGCGTCAGGGTGCTGGCCCTATTTCTGTAGCTCCTGTCTTGCAGCTAATGTAACTGGTTCCAGGTGCTGTCTGTACCCGGCTTTCATCTGCTACAGAAGCACCCTGCAAAGGCCCTTTGCAGTCCTAGGCAAATGCTTTGATATCTACTGATAATGAAGATACTTCAGAAGTGATAAGTGTTACCATTTCTATAGCTCAGAACTGAAGGATGAAAAAGTACTTGGTACGGTTACCTGTGCCAGAAGGTTGCAGTGGTGTCTAAATCACACCAGTCTGCAATTATTTATAAATTTTGTGTTTTCATGCTTTCTTTCTGTTTGTTGACATCCACAGTACATTGTAATAAGATTTACCCAGAACATTACTATAGTAACACCATTACAGTTCATTTCCATGGTGCTGCTGTTAATATTTAATGGAAAATGAGACAGGTGTCCCATTTTATGAGATAATAACGTGTTTCCTGACTGGATAAACTATGAATGCTGAAGGGCTGAATAGTTTTGCCCCTGTGTGGTAAGGACATTATCACTAAGGGAAATAAGATGTCTCCTATTCTCCAGTGTTACCCCACTTTAAGAAAGGACAACATCTCCCAAGCTGTCTGACAATCCAGTTCACTGTGTTTAGCTCCCAGTTTCTGTGTCTCAAAAACTACCCCATGAGACTTCATCTGCCTAGCAAATAAGCAAAGGGTGGCTACCAGATCTAGAGCAAGAATGAAATGGTGCTATTTAGTTGTCTGCTTCAAAATTTATCTTGTCTAAAACTACAGTAGGGAGAACCAGAAAAGTGGCATGAATTTTTGTTGTTTGCAGGAGGCTGCTGAGCTGCAGGGTTAGAGCATCATCGGCATCTGACACAAGTCACTAGAGCTCCAGTGCTGGGATGTGTTGGGTAAGAGTTTGCCTAATTGCATGGTGCACTCAAAGCCTCCTGAAATTAAGTCAAGATGAGCATCTGTGCTAGAAATTCAATCCCATGATCAGGGTCTTCTTTGTTCTGCCTCTTGCAGAATATGAACTTTAATTTTAGGTTTTAACTAAAAGGCTTTTGCGTTTGTTCTAGGATGTTGCAGATGGTCTATAAGAAAATGAATAATCTTTCAGCATTTCAGAGATGAACATCTATGATATACAAGTGCAGAAAAACTCAATGAGCCTTGTTGTCCTGAGTACTCATAGCTATATTTGTCAGAACTGTAAAAAACAAAGCCATAATAGTTTATGGTGATATAATCCTAAGCCACCTGTGAACATAAGACTCACAGTACACCTCCTGCTGTGGGCATTTCAGCCCAGACACCATGTCATGTACACGCAGTGGTGCCCTCTTTATTCTGTCTCTTTATGTCAGACAGAGCTGTTCAACCTGACTTGTTTTCCTCAGGTGCTAAGGTGTTTCAGTGAATGAGTCCCTCATGCAGGAACCTCATTACAAGCCCTGTTTGTGAGGTCATTAGGAGCCTGGAGAAGCTGTGCATCCTCCAAGCACACCCAGGGGTGCAAGAGGCTAGCCTTTCTTTCACCAAATCGGTTCCTATCTGCCTGTTATGATGCTGGCTGTGATAAGTTCAGGATTCTTAACATTCCAAAGAAAAAACAAATGTGTAGCCAAACCTCAGTAAGTTAATCAAAAATGGGGCCTGAGGAAAGAGGTAAGTTACATTTGATGGGGACTGACCTAGTCACACTGGGACGAGCAACACAGCTGAGCACTAAAGAGTCCTTTTATTAGGGGATAGAAAATGGTAATGGCTCTGCCAGAATCTTCTTTCTCAGAGTAATTATCTTATTATTTTGAGGAATCCTTGTGAGTAGCTGCATTTTTCTGATCTAAATTTGATTTCCAAATATATAAGTAACTTTGCACACCACATCTTAAGTGACACAGCCCCTTGGTCCATAGAATATTAGGATGTCAGACTTCGCACTTAAAATTATTTTAAAGTTTACTTTTGCAGTTAAAAGTCATGTTTTAAACTGAGTATGGGTTCAAGCATATGCAGCAAAATTAAATTCTTTTCTCAGGATCCTCAGTTATGTTTAATCATTCTTATGCCATTTGGAAATGGAGAATTTGGTTTATTTTCTCAGGAAGTTTTTACTGGTTGCCCATTATACAGTCTAGGTGTGGGGGGAAAAAACAACCACATACTTTATGTGATTAGACAATGGGCCTGGAAGAAGTCAGACAACAGGACACGTGAAAGGGGGCACATCATCAGACCATGGCCTTTAGATTTCAGGCAGTTCATAATCTGATTAATCACCTCCTCGATGATCTCTATCCAATGCAGTTTGACCATGTCTTTTTTTTATGAGCAGCAAGTTACTGCTTATGTCAGCATTTTGCAACCTGCCCTGTCATTTTCTTTACTTTATAGGGAAATAAAGTTTCCTGTGGTCTTGTCCGTGTAACTCTCATCCCCAGCTCTGAAAGGTGAACAGTGAGTGTAATGGAGCTATTTCTTAATTATATTATGACTGGTAGGAAGAGGGAAGTTGCTGTGTGATGTCTTCTCTTAAATTTCTTGCCCTCATTTCTGTCCTGTTTCCTCTCTAAACAGTGCTATCTTCCACCCAAAATGAAAATTAAAAAGAATAATCACAAACTTCAGCTCCAAAAATCACAGTTATAATGATAGGAGAATGTATTCTTAACAGCATCAGTTTATAATTAAACCATTTGTCTTTCACAAAAGGTGTCTAGTCTGTTGCTGTAGGATATAATATTTTTTATAAGCTATATTTTATGCAGATTTCTTTTCACTTGGAGAACCCAGTATTTAAACACAGTCAGTAGCAGCAAATAATCTCCTTTTACTACTACTTTTAGCTGATGCATTTGGGACTTTGGCAGATTGCAGTGTTCTTTCAGCTGGTGGTTAAGATCATCACTACGTGCAAATTTTCCTCGTAAATAGCTCCAGGATCTGCCTCTGCAAGGTGCTGAGCAGCCTCAGCCCTTTCCAGTATAAAATGGGAGTCTAGCAATCATCTCATCTCTCCGGATCAAAGGACAGACAGGGCTAAATAATGAGCTCTTGGCATGATTTCTTTTTTCTGCAATTGAAGTGTTCCTCAAGATACAAAGGAATTCATCATTTCAGTAGTGTCAATTTGAACTCACTATTCATCAGTTCTTATTTTTTCCTAAGATCCAGTGACTCAGCAATCAAAGTCACTAAACCACCCATCATATTAGAGGTGAGGGGACACCCCAGTGGGCATTCTATACTATCTGGCACTTTGCCTGGCTTCAGTAGAGTGCCACTCTCCCATTATTCTCTTGGCTTTCATAAGGACTAAGAGATTATCACACAAAAGTTCTCAATCCACCTGACTTCATGAGTCAGAACCTCTGGGTGGTGTACTCCAGTGTAGCCCCATCAAAGCCAACCAGAGAAGACATGGGCAACGGTTTGGAGATAGCTCAATTCATCTGTGCTTTCTGCCCTCCAAAAACATTTCATTCCATCCATCTCAGCCCTTTCCATGTCTTAACTTGTATCTATTGTCTTCCTGGCTTCTCAACTCACAAATTATGAAAAGTGTTTTGCCGTGTTCTCTTCCCTTCTATAGCCAGCACTTCCTAATCATCCAAGTGCCTTACATTTTCCACAGCTGGCCTCTAAGACAGTTGCAGCCTTGGGTGCAGGGCTGGGTATATCGGCTATGATCACAATTTATTTTTGGGATGCAGGAGCATGCCCACATCTCAGCAGCTGTGAATGCTGGCATGTGCTGGGGACAGGAAAGGTTTACATTGCCTGGATTCCAGGGGACTGATTTAGAGCGACTCATTTTGAGGCAGTTGGCCAGATAAAACCCATGCTGACTCCCTCTGGAAAGCTGCTGTCTGAAAACAATATGGTCTCATCTTCAGCTTTTCAGCAGTGTCCTCAAGAAAACTAGCCTTTTCTTTGGCTCCTCTTCCTGTTGCATCCCCAGTCCCTGGTGGGCACAGGACAAAAGGCATACGCTGGGATTATGTGTTTATCTTTTGTGTATGTTTATTATGTGTCTTTTCCAGGTAGAGGACTCTTCTAGTAATGCCAGCGGTGTCAAGCCCACCTCTCCTACCAGCACATGGGGAATCAAAGCTGTACAGTTCAGCAGCCACACGTGTTGATGGAGAGGTGATTTGGGATTTGTCTACCTTAGGGTCAGCTTCTCCAGACCACAGTGAAACAGCTGTTGATTAATTTCTGTCACTTTTTGGAATGGTGACCAGCCCGTAAAACATTTTACCATAACCCAAACAAGATATGATGCAATGATTAGGGGAATAATTAAAACTCTGACCATGCTTCTTAATGGCTGTAGTAATGACAGTAATGGCAGGACAGTTTGCCCTCTCTGATCATGCCTTTCTTAGTGACATAATACATTTCAAGCTTTACAGCACCCTTGTGGTTGTGACAAATGAAACAATTCAATAAATTAAACATGGTTCGGAGAGAGAGATAGTTGGTGAGTGCTGGCTGATGCTTGGTTCATGTAAGAATAAAGCAGCAGCAAACCTGAAGCTTTGCTTTCTGCAAAGCTCTCCTTGTGGTTTGGCTTGCTCGTGGTGCAGCATGAGGTGCTGTAACCTGTTTAAGCTGCCTTGCAGGAATCAGCTCTGTCTCATCTGCCTCTGACTCGCTGCATGACAAATGCTATCTGCCCTGCACAGCTGGGAATAGAGACATGTCCTAAGATTACAGTTCATGAAAAATCTGGGTGGGACAGCATATATTTTAGAAATGCCAGATGCAAGTAAATTGCTAAAGCAAGTTCTTTTTATATAATGGTTTAATTAACAATCTCCATGTTACTGCATTTAATGTGATTCACTGTGCTTATCAGAAGACTTCTTTTCTGAGGCAGGGATCATACCTTCCCTCTATGGTTTACACAGGTTTTTCCTCACTGGTGTGAGGAGTGGATAAAGTCCCTTGTCTTGTTTCTGAGCAGGCAAACTCCTGCACTCCAGTATGTGAATCACAGAACTGGACAAAAGTGATTTTGGCTGTGATCCATCTGGAGCCCATCAGCAAGAGGCTGAGGGTGCCTGAAGGTGTCAGACAGACTGCAAGGTAGCCCCACGTAACATCGCTGACCACAACAGAGACTTTGAGCAAAAGGTGCACAGCTAAGTTGCTACTATTGAGGGACATTTCTGGAAACCAGTACAATCCTTAACATTTTAAAAGGATGTTTGTGTCCTGAGCTTTAAGCTGTGAGGGAATTGGACCATGCCTTTCTCTCTAGACTGTAAATAATTTGCGGGGAGAGCTGTTTTTATCACTGTGCTTCAAACAACACTCAGCATATTGCTGGAACCAATTATATAAATAAATTATATAATATATCTTTGGGTAACTTAAATACCATGCTGAGCAGTCAGTAGTTGAAAATTGAAAGACGCCCAAGCCAAATTTGAAAATAAGGAGATAAAACATTTGATAATTCAGTCATATTTATTATAGTTTTTCATTTTCTGTAGCAGCCTGGTAATATAGAAAGATATTTGTGCTAGAATACCAGTGTTCTATAGAACAGATGTTTTTATATTACTTTCTCTAAAGTGTTTAATAACATATTATATGACATACTGTAGTCATAACACTTGGTTAAAAATCTTCTGCAGATATAACATTTACTTTTGATTAAACAAGTGTGCTGGGACTTCAGAGTATCCCAGTGTAATTTAATGTTATTCTGCTATTTTGGAGCAGTTAATTGAATTGCATAATGGGCTACTTCAAGAAAATATGAAGAATATATTTGTTTCTAAAAGTTAAGGTAAACAAATTAACTCCTAAACACTTTAGTGATGAATATCTTACACTCTTGAAGTTCAAAATAAGTTATATTTCCCTATTTAAGCATAGTTTCTTGATAGTGGCAGTCTGCTAGTTCTCAAAATACAGATTACAAAGCAAAGACTGAGATGAGCAAAGTCTATGAATCCATAGCAGATATGTTATGCTGGAGACACCATGAGTATAAACAGACTAAAATCCAAGGAGCTAGAGAAAGAGAAGGTCAAACTTTTTCGGCCTTTCTTATTCAAGGATTCTCTCCTGAATATAAAAGAAAGGTAAGTTGTTCTGTACTAGAAATCTGTGTGTGCAAAAAAAAAAAAAAAAGATGGTAATAGCAAGATAACTGGTTTCAAAGAAAATGGTGCCAGTGGAGGAGGAAAGTAGGAGAGCAGCGAACATCAAATTATCATGGGTAAAGAGAAGGCAATAGCTCTCATGACAAAAAGGTTGTCAGTGGCTGGAAAGGCACAGCTTCTTTCTTATCTTTGATTTTCAAACGTTGATGAAGACATCTCTGTATAGAAGAGATTACAGAGGTCTCTGCTACATTTTGTCAGGATACTGATTTTTGATGCACACTCTATATACTTTGAATCTTGATATCCAGAAGGCATTTGACTAATAGAATGGTGGGTAATGACCAAGATCGTGCCTGCAGGAGATGAAGGAAAAATGGTGATCTCTGGGCAAAGCACTGCTTTAATATTATTAGTTACAGGCACATTGAGCACAGCCCTCTGCATCATGCCCATGGTAAAAGGGAAGCTGTCTCTGTTGAGGTTACTAAGTCAAGGTGTCCTTGATGTGGATAACTTGATCATTAGCTTCTTAGCACAAAGTTTGAGCTTTAATATGTATTACTTAGCTGCATATCATATAACCTCAGTGTATCTGTGTTGCAGACTATCCTTATCTGAATGATTAACATTAGCTCATGAGTGGTGGCTAAAAAAAGGTGCAAGAAAGATCAAAACAGTACCCTAATTAAGCAGCATCCCCTCAAACAGATTTATAGTTTCAAGGTGACTCCTCAGTCTGTGCTCCTCAGCCCAGCAGTAGGATTGTTTGCCAAAGCTTGGAGGGGAGTAATTGAAAGACAGCAATTTGCTAAGGGCCTGATTCCTGGAAGAGGCAAGAGAGGAAATTGTCACTTTCAAAAACTGGCATTCAGATGGTCTGAGCCCGAAGTATAATCAGTTCTCCAGAGAAGAGGCTGCTTAAGTTATGCCTACTCAAAGCATGAATTGAATTTCAGATGGAGGTCCTGTAGCATGTAAAGGGACAGCATCATGCTCAGCAAGCATGAGGGTATAGCCTGGAGATGGAAGCAAGGAGACCATTAGTTCATAACACCAAGGAAGAAGTGAAGGCATCTGACTATTTCTTGGAAAGTATCCTTAGGGAGCTGGGAGAGGTCTCAGAAGAGACAAAATAGGCAACAGCTGGGGTCAGGGAAATGTCAACTGCATTTACAGCTCATTCGAGGAACATAAGGTCACATTTATACTATTGGCTGATAAATGTTTTACTGTACATCCAGGACAGTCTACCCTGTGCTGTTAGAAATCATAAAGTAATTCAATATGCGATAAGGGTGTAGCTTGACACTCATCAAGTCTGAAATCCCAGTTTCTGCGAAGAGTCACACCCTTCTGCTTAGACGAACTGTTGAACAATAAAAGCCTTTGGACTTGGCATTCAATGAAATGTGAAATCAAACTGGTTAGATGCCAATTCTTCAGTTCAAACAGTTGAGACTGGTTGAGGTGAGGTGGTCAGTCACAGCAAGAGTGTAGGGATGCCTCACAGAGCCAGCCATTTCTTCCCTGTTTGTTGAATCAACTTCAAGGATTTTCAGGCAGACCAAAAGCTAAAAAATCCTACCTGGGTAGAAACTTCTTCTCTCTCCTGTTTTGTTTACCTCACTCAAAACCCGTGAATTACACTTTAAAATAGTTGACAATGTGTAACCTTAGGAAACCACATTCCTGTTGGTCAAACATATTTTGTGGCTTTGCTAATATGATATTAAAGTGGATGAGACACACTGGCTACCATTTGGTCTGAAGGAAACAACAGATGCCAGGTAAAATAAGAATCCAGTGCTGCCAGTTGCAGGGCCTGGAGGAAATACCAGAGATGTCAATGGAGTAGAGGATGGTGATAATTCTAGGCTATGTCTACACAGCTTGTCAAGCACAAATAGGGAAAGTCTGGTGCACCCCTTGACCCCAAGCTCTGCATTTGTGCCATCAACTCTATGATATTTTTTAGTCACTCTTTGGTATGAACATTGCATAAGAAACTCTGAGCTATAAATTGGGTTTGCTTCTAAGGGAAGCAACATCAGGAGCCACGTAAGAAGGATTGCTTAGGTGCAATTTTTGTCATTTAGGATATATGATAGTTGCCAAGGCAATAAATTTTCATTTGCTCCCTCTGCACAACAAAACACCTTCCTCACATCTTCACCCACCTGCCTGCATGTCCCTCCATTCTTCCTGTGAGTCTCACATGAGCACAGGTGTCAGAAGGTTGTTGGTTAACGTGGACTGCAGTGTGCACCTGGACCACTTTACATAGATGGTGTTCCACCTTCAAAGGATTCTTTCTTCTGAGATTTCACAGGGAGAAATTGCTCCTCAGGTCAGATTTCTCCCCTGGTCCTGGTAGGAAGCAAGTTCCAGTGATTTTCTCCATCAGTGGGAGAGCACACAAAAGAAAGCTGGATGTTTTCCTCATCTCTAGGATTTCCTAAAGGATGGCACCTTATAGATAGTTGTCAGGCTGCTAAGCTTTTACACCTCTGCTGCATTTTAGGTTTTGGCCTTTCCTCTTTAGTTTCCTGCTAGCTATTTTTTGCAGAAGAGGGCTTTTATTTTTCCTTCTCCAAGCTTTCCTCACTGTGCCTTTTGTAAATTCTTAATTTCAAAAGTGTTCTTCAAAGAGCTTTTGTCCCCTCCTGTACCTAAGTGGAGTTTAATTGTCCTCAGATTAAGGTCCTTACTGTTTCTCAAGAGGAGGATGAAACAGAAGCTTCCAAGGTCTTAAATGCAAGATACACATGAATACAAAAGCTATGGGTGAACTGTTTCAGATGGTGGAACAGGAAGCTCTTCATAACTCTGGCTTTATGGAAAAAATAGCCAGAACTGGGGTAGCTATAGCAACGTGCATATTGCCAGGTTTAAGGGAAATCTAGTCCTCATAATGGGTAATCCAATGAAGTAAATAAAGCAGATACCTAAG